CTATGAGTCGGATCCCATTGTTATTGGATTCTTCTAGCAGACTTTCCTTGCCAATAGTTGGCATGAACACCTTTTCTTTTCCCATTTTGGCATTGAAGTCTCCAATCACTATTTTAACATCATGTCGTGGTGCCTCTTCGTAGATCTCTTCCAGTGTCTCATAAAAGGATTCTTTATCCTGATCTTCCTTGTCTTCCGTTGGAGCATGTACATTTATGAATGTTATATTGAACATTTTTTCCTCGCACACGCAAAGAACACAATCTTTCGTTTTCTGGTTTGAAGCCTATGACTGCACTGACCGCTTCTTTTTTCATGGCAAATCCTGTTCCTAGTGTGTTGGTGTTGCTACCACTATAAAATGTGGTGTATTCTTTTGTCTTGAGGATGTCTGAATTTTTCCATTGAATTTCTTGCAATGCAGCAATAGATAATTTATATTTGACCAGCTGATTTACAAGGTTGGCTAAGGCTCCTGCTCTAAACAGGCTTAGTATATTCCAAGTCGCAATCCAAAAATCATGTCTATATCCATGCATAGGTCGATTTCCATTGGTATCAGTCCGGGTTTTATTCTGTTGATTGACTTTCGTAACGTTGATTTTTTGTTAACCCTGCGCACAACCGTCTGGGGGGTCGCCCCTTACAGCTCTCTGGATAGCTGCCTTAGTTTTTGGGTAAGGTTTCCTAGCCTTTGTGGATCCCTCCACTTCCCACAAGGCAGTAGGTTCTGATTTTGGTCCGCCCCAGGTATTTTATTTCCCTGGTACCCTCCATATCTGGTGGGCTTTCCCCTATCTGCCACCTGGGGAGGCGCTCGATGGAAGTTCAGTATCTCCGCACAAGGAGTGGATGTTACAGACATCTTTATATTTTGCCATTTATGTCCTACCTGGTCATCTTCTGTTTGGTCTTCCAAGGTTTGGACCTTATTTCCTAAGGTAGCACTGAATTCCTTTCTTTTCTGCTCATTTGCCAGAAATGCTACATTGAATTTTGTTTGCTCAGCAGCTGGCTGTTCCCAGTTTTTCTTCAGTTTTAACTTGAGCATTGCCCACACAAGATGATGATCGGATGCGACATCGGCTCCTCTTTTTTCTCGTACATCTTGTAGAGACCTTCTAAATTTTTTGCTAATACATATGTGATATATTTGGTTTTTCGTTTTGTAGTCCCAGGATGCCCATGTTATCTTGTGGATGTTTTTATGTTGGAATTCACTACCACCAATAGAAAGCTCACTTGTTGCGCAGAAGTCTGCTAGTCTTTCACTGTTATCATTCCTCTCTCCTACACCATGGGTTCTCATAATTTCCTCATACCAACTGTTTTCTTTTCTGATCTTAGCATTTAGGTCTCCAATTAAAATGTTTGTCTCTACTTGGAAATTTTTCTATTATTGCTTTTAGTCTGTTGTGGAATGTTGCTTTCTCGTCTTGTTTGATATCATTGGTGGCAGCGTAACATTCTATTATGTTCATCTTTATTTTCTTTTTCTTGGTTTGGAAGGTTGCTTTTATTATTCTTGGTCCATGGGCTTCCCATCCAATCAATGCCTCTTGTGCCATCCGTGACAACATAAAAGGGACTCCTTGCATAAGCAGAGCATTTTCCTCTTCATGCCCCGAGTACATCAGCATTTCTCCAGAGGCCAAATTTATCTGTCCAGCTTGTATACATTTTTTTTCACAGATGCCAAGCAGTGTGTGTTTGTAAGTTCTCATTTCTGCCACCACCTGTGCTGCTTTCCCTGTTTCATACATGGTTCTGACGTTCCATGTTTCCTTAGAAATGAGCGTCTTCGGCTTTGAGGCTTCCAGTATAGCCTGGGTTTGGCCACAAGGTTTCATAGCTCTTCTTGAAGAAGAAGAGCCCTCAGGGCTGAAATTTGTTAGTTTTCTCTTGTTGACATTCTGTAGCAATTTATTTTTACGGGTGAGGCATCTGGCCTCACGCCGACCCTCTTCCTTTTGCACCCAGGCTTGAGACCGGCCTTGGCGGAGTTCTTTTCACTGTTGGTTTAAATCCTATTGTTTCTTCTGTTACAGTTTTAACTATTCGCTTCATTTTTTCCCATTGCTCATTTATATTAATGTTGCTGGCTGATTCTCTTTTGAGTAATTCTAGTTGAGGAGCCTCATCTAATACTCTTTTGAGTGTTTCATAGTGCTTTCATCTGCATCTTCCATTGGAGCATGTGAGCAGATTAACATGATGTTTTCCTCATATCTTTATGGAGCATAGTCTTTCACTGACTGGTGTAAACCCAATGACCACATTTACTGTCTCTCTTTTGACTGCAAACCCTGTTCTTAAGGTGTTTGTGTTGTTTCCACTGTAGAATATTGTATACTCCTTATTACTTAGTATCTCCGAGTCTTTCCATCTGATCTCCTGCAGTGCTGCAAACATGATTCTATATCTTAGTAATTCATCAATGAGGCAGGCCAATGCTCTCGCTCTGTGTAGATTCAGTATATTCCAGGTAGCCATCTGTTGTTTTTATAATATTTTCTTAAATTTTCTAAAATTATTCATGTTAACTTTTTAGAATTATTAAGATGTTTAGGGATTCAACAATGACGAATCACTTCATAACTGACAGTGAAAAGAGCCATTTCCTGCATCTTGATCAAATAATGTTAATACCCCCCAACTTATGGCCATAACTTATGGAGTGCATAACTTTTCTTTGATTTGGTTATTTTTAATAACTTAAATATGTTCAAAATTGTAAATGGATAGAGTTTCTGTAAAACTAAACCCCATTTTGGTAAAATAACTAACAAAAAAGTATTTATATGATCTATGCTTACCAAATAGTTATGATAATCCTGATCTTGACACACACAAAAACTGTAGCATACATTTCATAAAATCACTGGAACACAAAAACTGATACGTTACCGATGAGGAAAGCAATTATTGAAGAGACTATTGTGGCGCAGTATGCAAATGTTAAAAAAATGATGTATTGTATAGAACAACATTTTTTAACATTTTACAACATGTGCAGTACGATGCTCAGTGTAAATGTAGTTTCAAAGAATCTAATCTAAGTCTGCAAGCCAAGTGACTAAACACTGGGAAACTGGGAATATTGAGTATTACTAACTAAAACGGCTGATTCTTAGTTTTCACCCCATGACGTCATTGCTAATTTTTAAATTCTTGTGCAGGAGTCATTCCCCTTTGTTTATTCATTGTTGGAGGAAGTGCTGATGACATGTTTTGTATTATTATTTTAATTGGTTGATTCTTTATAATTTTTAATTATCATTGGTTGGCTAATTATCCTATTTTATTTGCGCAAACCATCTTTTCAACATATTAGCCCAATGCCGGCTGTTGCGCTCTATTCATTTGTGCATGTTATTTTCTTTGGAACCTGAAATAAAGTGTCTAAAAGTGTATTTCATGAAACTGTAAGTTGGGTTTTAATTATTTCATGATTCATAGTTTAAAAAAATATTTTTGGCCATTTTTATGTTGATTTTTGTTCATTTTCATAGTTTTATGGCCACTGCCTTAGTTTGTAAACTCCACGTGTTATTCATTGTGGCTTTAGGCTTTGGGGAGGGGTACAGGGGAGGGGTCTCCCCTCCCCAGTCGTTTCATAACGTGTTTTGCAATTATTTTTGGCCGCCATCTTGGTTGACACTTCATGTGATTTCACGTGTTGTGTCAACCAAGTTGGCGGCCATGATGGGAAACCCCGGGGCGATCTCTCATTATTTACCACTAAAACTATTAGTAAGTATTACTTATTAGTCGAAGTAGCCTGCCTAGAAGAACTGAATTTTGGCAGCAAACCCCTGCCCACAACTAAAAAAACCGAAACAAAATGCATCTCTTCATCTTACTAAAGAATTTTTCATTTCTACTCTGGGAAGCTTACTTACTTTTAGGTAGACTTAGGCCTAGGCTTAGGCTTAGGCCTAGGCCAGACCTAATTACTAATTATAAGTCTACAGTGTGCTAAGTCTACACATCAGACACATGTCTATAGTATATGAATAACTTACCGGATTATATGTCGCTGAAGATAGGGAGATGTATAATTAATAATATGCTGCAAAATCCCCCAAAATGAAATTGGTAACGCCATCAAAACAAACATTCCTCCAATGAACCAGGCTTGCACATGATCTGGTGCCCCTTTCCTCTCGAGTTCTTTTATACACAGAGGGACAGCAATAACAAGAAGTACAATATATGAAGCTACAACAACAAAACCTATCCATTTTCGCCAAACTCCCAAAATATGACGACATTCCATGTTCTTGTGCTTTAATGCAGCGTTCTTTGAAATTTAATTAATCTGCATAAAAGGGTGGTGCAGTATAGCCAAACAAAGCCCCTTTAAACTGTTTTTGTTTACAATTTATAATAGGAAACCATTTTGTTGTCATGTGACAGGCTATTAGCAACCTCGATGTGAGGATTCCCTTACCTAGTCACTATAATACCAAAATGAGTAATGCTATCTCTCCCCATGATTACCACTCACTTTATATATTAAATTAATTAATTAGCCAGCGAACCGAGGTATATTGACACAAATGGGGTGAAAATCTTGGGGATAAAATGAGGAATCAAAAGCATAAATAAACTCACAAATGCCGTGGCTGTCTCAATTAAAAAAAAAGGATAAAAAGTTCCGCCCAGAAGGGCGGACCGCCCCATTCGCACCCCTTCATTCTTCACTGGATACATTTGCATAAATAAAATCCCATTCATCAATTTGGACGGGTCACATAAACTGGATAAACTTTATGTGAAAATGTTTAGTCAAGCAAGATTACTGTTAAGAATAAAATAAAATACCTAAAAAAAAATTATGCTGTTTAAAAATCAATTTTAATATTGAGTAAAAAAACACAAACAGAAAATAACTATTATAAACTTTAAAATGGAAATAACACGTATACTTACCGTATACCAACATTAAGATAGCTTCTTCTGAATAGTTTAAATAGTTTTCTGACGTTTAGAAGTAAGGAATCCCTGCTGTTAGATATTTTTCCAATATGGCAACCTTCAGGGGCAAGTGTTAAAAAATAAAGCTTTACCATATTTAACCCTAGTTTTAGCAAAAATTTATTAGTATTAGTTGATTCAAACTGACTTTCTCAATCTTTATGTTAGATAACTTAACATATTCAATTTCTATAATTGCAATTTCTTTTTAGAGATTAAATGATTCGTAATTTTTACATAAATAGCCACTATTCGACCCGGGTCCATTTAACTTTAACTTTAACAGTTACTTTAATAAAATAACTTTAACACTTCAAGTCTTGTCTTTAGGTCTTTAGTTTAGACTAAATCCCATTCGGATGTCATTTGTGGTAGTTTATTTTAGTTAAACTGAAGAAGTAAGTTTACAAACATATAGTCTATTCAATTATCTTTCATTTGATAGCTAATTTTGTCTTACAAACCCAAAAATGATATTTTAAATAGTTTTTTTAATTTTAATCCCAACCTCTCACTTCTGATACCCGGGACCGGATGCGAATAACCGCTTTGATCAATTATTTAAATTATTAAATTATCAATGTCCGTTAACTTGTCAAGAGATGCAAAAATATACATACATACTCATTGTATAGTCATAGTCATAGTGTAACATAATATTACTAATACTATTACATACCCGGTTGTTGTTATTGTTCGTCCGTCGAGGATCGGCGATGACCATCGAGTCGTCCGGTGACTGATGACTTGTGCTAGTGACTTTTGTTTAAAGTGAGGAAGAGTTGCGCGGCGTCAACCTCACTCTCTCGTCCGGGCCCACCATATCCAGTGGCAAGACTCTACGTCAAGACGACCAGAGATGGGTACGGTTGCAGGAATTGTCATTGTATGCGCCTTACGGGGACTCTAACTCCGGGTTTGAATTCAGAGTTTCTCTTAGATGAGTTGCCGACCAAGGTTAACGAGTCTCATCCACCCGGGGTGATGTTTTTGCTTGACCTGCCTTTGGCTGGAATTGAGGTTTGCTCAGTTTAGACCATTCGGCCACCCAGTCATCCATGCAGTGAATGACCATGGCGTTCTACTGTCTGGCCATGCTCTCAGAGATTCATACCACTGTGCTGTCTCTGCCTTTTGACCAAGTAGTAGTTCTTCCGCACAATTTGCCGGATCCAGTCTTTACATGCTATGGGGGAAAACCCCTTTTTTTCAGAAAGTTCTATGCCTTTCGGCTACCCTCACATTATTACGTGGGCCCTGCCTTAATCTTAAACTTAATATATAGAAGATATGGTTTTAAATTAATTTTTTTTTTCAACCGCAATTAGACAATTCAATCCAATGACTTTGTCATGAGTCATTGTCATGAATGATTAATTATGAATTTATGCTAGTAATATGACGCATTGAAAATATCAATTTATGAATTGTTCATTGTTGAAAATTAGGCTAAATTATAACTAAATAATATAAATATAGCGAATTTGGTAGTGAATTTAATAAGCAATATAAATAATATAACATAAACATGATTTATAAATATTAAATGTACATCCTCAAATGATGTCATTGTCAATTTGTCTTCACATTCATCACACTATTATTGCCAATAGTACTGAATTGGCCAGTTTCAACCTCCATCCCTAAAATTCACATTAATCTTCAAATGTAAAAGACTTTCTTTTTCATTGTTTGGAACAAATTTATGTCTTTTTTTTAATGGGTTCAAATCAATGGGCATTTATTAGATCTTATTATTAAATTTAAACAGTTATTAGGCTAAAGATAATTTATTTTAAAGTCTAAGTTTAATGCTGGGCTTAGAGAAAAACAACTTAAGCATAACTGTGCTTTTAGAGGTAATATAATGTTTAAAAAATGATAATACAGGCTTTAGGCTTTAGGCAAATAAGGTTTTAAAAATATGAGTTGTACTAATATCTTGATAAAACTATGTCTGTTCACTGGAAATTTTTTCATTCTACCACTATTAGTAGAGATATTGGGAAAATATAACCATTCATGGCAGTTTTAAAGTTATGAAATAATAAAAATGAAATGTAAGATTTTCAATTCGTTCTCATTTTTCCATAGGAATTTCCTTTGCCCGGTTGGCAGTATCCTGTTTTCAGCAAAACATCCTAAAAAATATTCCTTTGTAAGTAAAACAAAGCTACCAAGCCAGTAATATGCAAATATATTTTTATAATAAAAAAAAAAATTGGCATACAGTTTAATTATTAGGTTATGTATTTGATTTCACGATTCTAATGTTATGCTTTGCTTACCCTGTTTTTCAAGATCTCGGATATCATCATCAAATGCCACCATAAGAACTCCTCAGCTTTGGGCATCATTGATACACAGTAGCTCGAGTCATGCTAGTTATAGGAACACAGACTTTGAAGATCCACCAAAGAAAATAGGCAAAGTGAAACTAGTGCCACCAAACTGGCTAAAGTATAATGATGTTGTTTACCCACCAACATCCCCAGGAGAACCTGAAAGACCAGCTGTAAGTGATGTTGTAAAATTGGGAGAGTTGTATGTGTTTTAGTTTTATAAGTTTAAAACCCATTTGATATCATGATGGAAAAATAACCATTGCTACATATATTGTCATAGATTGTTGCGATATGATTTTGATTTGCATTTTCCCAAGCTTCTTTAAATGCATTTCATGTTTCCTTTAAAAACAAATGGTATACACAATTTCTTAAATTAAAAAAAAATCTATTTGTATTTTTTAATGATAGCTAATGAGATAGCCAATGGTTTGCTTAACCAGGCACTCATTGCTGGCTACCGTATATACTAGAGACTGACCAAAGTTTGGCATCAGCACTGAAAGTTGCCATTTCATCACTTTTTACATAGTTTCGGTTTCAGCAGAAGCAGAACAGTTAAGGTTTGGTTTATCATCCTAGACATACTCTTTGGTTCTGTATTGCTTACACTGGCATATTATTTTGTAGGGTTGGCTTATACATTAACCAGGTGACACATTTTTCAAACTTTTCCTGTCCAAAACTAATCTTATAAACAAACAGGCTTTAAAACGAGTATAAAGGCATATGCTGACTTGTTATTATGTTGTGCAAACCAGAATCATCTTGTTAACTAAACCGTTTACCAAACATTTTGAATATGTCACTTTTTCCAATATTTTCATTTTATTTTTACCTTTATCTTTAAAATACTATTGATTATAATATTGTTTTTATTTTTTTGTAGGAAATATAGATAACTGATAGTCAGTTCTATTGTGGTTTATAAATAAATCAACATACTAAATAAATCAAAATACAGCAACAGAAGTGTATCACTGTTCACCTATGGGGAAAACAGTGTAATCACTGTTTACCTATGGGGACAGCAGTATATCAGTGTTCACCTATGGGGACAGCAGTGTATCATTGTTCACCTATAGGGACAGCAGTGTATCATTGTTCAACTATGGGGATTGCAGTATATCAATTGTTCACCTATGGGGACAGCAGTGTATCAGTGTTCACCTATGGGGACTGCAGTGTATCAGTGTTCACCTATGGGGACTGCAGTATATAATTGTTCACCTATGGGGACTGCAGTATATCATTGTTCACCTATGGGGACTGCAGTATATAATTGTTCACCTATGGGGACTGCAGTATATCAGTGTTCACCTATGGGGACAGCAGTGTATCATTGTTCACCTATGGGGACTGCAGTATATCAGTGTTCACCTATGGGCGAAGCAGTGTATCATTGTTCACCTATGGGGACTGCAGTGTATCATTGTTCATCTATGGGGACAGCAGTGCATCATTGTTCACCTATAGGGACAGCAGTGTATCATTGTTCACGTATGGGGACTGCAGTATATAAGTGTTCACTTATGGGGACAGCAGTGTACTATTGTTCACCTATAGGGACAGCAGTGTATCATTGTTCACCTATGGGGACTGCAGTATATCAGTGTTCACCTATGGGGACAGCAGTGTATCATTGTTCACCTATGGGGATTGCAGTATATCGGTGTTCACCTATAGGGACAGCAGTGTATCATTGTTCACATATGGGGACAGCAGTGCATCATTGTTCACCCACAGGGACATGGACCATACTGATCACCTTATTAGGGAGAAGAGGAAGAACATAGCAATGTTCGAAAAGTTTTGAAGTTTAGATGCAAAGATAAAGTATGTTTTTAAAAAAATTACGTATTTGTGTTATGCCTTGTGTTTGCAATGTTCTATTAATCTGTTATTCATAAACCCACTTAGGAAATTTGCCATCACAGAATGCAGATAAAATATGGTACTAAAAAAATGTGGTATCTAGCATGCATGGTAAGATTATCTTAAATCTCAATATTTTTCTGTTAAAAAATAGCCTTTTTGGAACAAACAAATGATGATAAATTTATATTGATAAATGATGTTAAATTTATTTTTTGGAAAAGAAATATTTCATCCCATTCATTACTTACCAGAATATATATCAAATATTTTTTCTGTAATTGCTTCCAAAGATTCGAGGAATGTCAATTGATGAAGCTATTAAACAGTTGTCCTTCCACAAAAGAAAAGGAGCTGCCCATCTAAAGGAGGTTCTAGAATTTCTTATTTAGTTAATTCCTAGACATGCCGTGCTGGAACATTTAATTTGTCTTTCTTTTAACTTAATGTTAAATTGTATCATTGTTCTGATTAAATAACGTTTAAATTGTAGAATTAACCAGGTCATTGTCATTTTATCTCTAAAGGCTTTAGAAGAGGCACAAGAAATTGCTGTGCGTGATCACAATGTTGAGTTCAAATCAAACTTATGGATAAGTAAGTTAAGCTTCTCTTTACTATTTATGGTAGTTAAAAATATTGTTACTGCTAAAATCTTTAAAAATAAATTAAATTAAAATATTTCTTAAGAACTAAAATATATGACCCAATGTTACCTGGATAATAATGGCAGGAAATTTGTGATATTTTCTACCTGCTATTGCAAAATATAAACCCATCTTTGCGTACGCACATTAACTGTAAGGAAAAAAAATATGGCTCTATTTTTTAAGTTTAAAATTTGACACGTGTAAAATGATAAGGGTTTTAAAAGGTTTATTTGAGGTATGGATATCCTTATGTTAATGTTGTTGTTGTTCGTCCGTCGAAGTCGACAAGGACCATCGAATCATCCGGTTAGGGGCGGGCAGGGGGGTTGGGATTACGGTGAGCTCTTAGGTGGCTTGTTAGACCAATCCTTGCTCGGAATAATCTATGACACCGTGGGCATGGAATAGTTGCTTCAGGCGATGACCTAATGTTGCTCTTTCGGACAAGCCTGCGTGTCTCAGCTGTGGTTATTCTCTTAGCTTCATGGGATTTAGCCCCCTTCTTGACAGCAGCTCTCCATCTGGCTCTGTCCTGGGCTGTCTGCATCCATTGAGTAGGGTTTATGCTGAAGGCCTTTAGTGCCACTTTCAGTGAGTCTTTGTAACGCTTTCTTTGGCCTCCTTGGGAGCGCTTGCCTATCGTGAGTTCTCCAAAGAATATTTGTTTCGGGAGCCGGTGGTCTGCCATACGGGCTACGTGTCCCATCCAACGGAGCTGAGACTGCATCAGAGTGGTGAAGATACTAGGTAGGTTTGCTCTAGCGAGGACCTCAGTGTCGGGGACTTTGTCTTGCCACCTGATGTCGAGGAGTTTCCTGAGGCAGGTAGTGTGAAAATGATTCAGTTTCTTGGCGTGACGCTGGTAGACAGTCCACGTTTCACATCCATAAAGCAGTGTCGGGAGGACTGCTGCGCTATAGACCTTGAGCTTTGTTTCTCGACTGATACCTCTCCTGTCCCAAACAGTGCTGCGGAGCCTGCCAAATAGGGCACTAGCTTTTGTGAGTCTGCCATTCATTTCATCATCCATGACGACAGATCTAGAGAGGGTGCTGCCCAAGTAAGTAAATTTATCCACCGGGTTGAGACGCTGTCCACTGATGATGATGTTGGGTTCAACGTAGGGCTTACTGGGAGCTGGCTGATACATCACCTCAGTCTTCTTTGTGTTGATTGTGAGGCCAAAGTTATTGCAGGCCTCTGAGAAGATATCAACGCTGTGTTGCATGACGGCTTCTGATGGAGCATTAAGGGCACAATCGTCTGCAAACAGAAGCTCGTTGATCGTGGTATGTTTGACCTTGGTTTTAGCTTGAAGCCTCCTAAGGTTAAATACTGATCCATCAGTACGAAACCGGATTGGCAAGCCCATGGTGGAGTCCTTGAACGCATCAGACAGCATTGCGGAATACATAATACTGAAGAGTGTGGGAGCAAGAACACAACCCTGTTTTACACCGTTTGTGACGGGGAATGCTGGAGATGATTGACCGTTGTCCTGTACTCGGGCCATCATACCATCATGCAGCTGACGGATGATGTTTGTGTTAATGTACCCATGGTTTGTCAATGCCATTGAGCGTAATTTCATTGGCTTTAAAGATATTGTCATCCACGTAAAAAGACACCCTAACCTTGATATATGTACCTAAAGAGGTTAACAATTTATCAAATTCATTCCTTGGGCTAAAATGAAAGTATCAAATGTCACATAATAATAATAGTTTTGATATATTGATATCAAAATTAAACAAATTGCAACTTTATATGGTTAGTTCTTTTTGGATGAGTGATAAGTGAATCAATGATTGCTATTTAGCTATGATTTTTCAATGCTTTTAAACAGTATTTTGTTATAAAAAGTATTTTTAAAAGTTAAGTTTTTATTACTTTATAAATTTGATAAAAGTACAATTTTGGAATGAAAATTAAGTAATACTTATTTCATGTTAAACATACAAAGCTAAGATTTGGTGTGTTTTATTAACAATTTAAAAAGCAATCAATAATATTTAATTGAAAAGGGGAAAATACATTATCAATTTTGTCATACAGAAACTTAAAGCTTTTGATTTGCAAGTTTAAATTTATCTCTTATGGAATTAATCTAATTTTTTCTTTATTTGAGTCCAATCTAAAATTTTACTTCAGTAATGTTTGAAGTCATTAGATAAAATTGGTTATAAATTGGATAAAACAGATATATTGGTTTTCCCGATGATTTAATAAGAATAATTCTTAGATCATAATTTATTAATAATAATAAGAATATCACAACTTTTAAATTCGGATAAAATGCTTAAATTAGTTCTTTAGTTGTTATTTTAAATGTATTTATTATTATAATACTTAAAAATAGACTAAAATAAAAGTGGATATATTTTATTTTTAGCCTATTTAAATTTATTCAATTTCTGTAAAATAATAGAAAATCACTATCATTGTTTTTAAGAATATGAACGTATTTAAATAAGTTCATTTTTTAAAGCCTTGTATGCATACCCTAGCTCATTCTTTTATATATAATTTATTAATAAGAATTTTTTTGTGGCTTCAGGTGACTCCTTTGTAACAAGAGGAATCATTGTCAAAGGTTATAGAAGACACGCCAGGGGACGTTATGGCATAATTCAATATCGCTACACCAATTTTTTTGTGAGATTGCGAGAAGGAAGACCACCCAAAGATTACTACCCCGCAGAAAAGACTGGCAATGAGTTGATGGAAGACTATATCAAAAAGCAGCGCGCACGGAGAATAGAATTTGGCTTATAAAAACAACTATTAACATTATTGGTTTCTAGGTTTAAAATACAGCTGGTATTATGCAGTCATTTTGAATATTGGGCTTGCTTTTTTATCTATCTGCTACATGCCATTTGTTAATAACCTTAAAGTTTAAGATGGTAAAATATGCATCTGTTAATGAGAAGGAAAATGCATTATGCAGTTCATAAAAAATATTTTGGGTTTGTGATAAAATAAAATTTTTTTTTTTACATGAAGGGTTGTGTAATCTTTTTAGTGTAAAAATAGAATCGATAAAAAAAAAAAATGGATAGAAAAAATAAGTATTGGTTTAAAAAATTAGCCCTCATGGTTCTGCTAATGTATTTTTCTTCAGCATTCATTTATATTATTAAAGATTCATAGATAATGTAGGCTAAACTCACAAGGTCTGAATTCTTGACAGCCCCCCCCCCCTACATGAGTTCCAAAAACTTCTTCGGCGGCGCATCCCTTGATATGTATATACCAAACACATTTGCATTCAAAGACCCTCATGGTTCTGCTAATGTATTTTTCTTCAGCATTCATTTATATTATTAAAGATTCATAGATAATGTAGGCTAAACTCACAAGGTCTGAATTCTTGACAGCCCCCCCCCCTACATGAGTTCCAAAAACTTCTTCGGCGGCGCATCCCTTGATATGTATATACCAAACACATTTGCATTCAAAGGCTAAATTATAAAACAAACATTATAAAAAATAATCTTATTACAATTAACAAACTAAATATTCTCTCAAAGTTATTTTTATTTCAGTAATAATAAAAAAAAAAAGGCATTTCATCCCAGAAGTATCCATACTTTTTTACAATGTGCTCCATTTTTGTAAACCACAAAAAAATAGCACTTATGGACCACAGGTGATTAAAAAAATATATCTCAAACTGTTTCCTACTGTATTGCTACTTTGTTAATCCAGTGGCTTGGGCAGACAGGAAGTGACCATTTTTACTTGCCTAAGATTGCTCAAAATTAAACCCTTGAAAATTATATTTTTCATCATAAATAATACCTTAAAACCTAGTAAAGAGCTGAGCTGAGACCACACCTGACAATACTGACATTAACTTATCAAGGGGAATAATTAAATGGTACTGCTGTAACATCATGGGAAGCTCCTAAACTAGCTCTCACTTGAGAAAATCAAGAACTACTAACAGGATCCAGGCAATCAAATATTTTTATGATACCTACTGGTTCTCCTATTAATCTTTTTTACAATATTATTAAAGTGTTAAGTTGATAATCATCAAAAACATTTGGCACAGGCATTAGTATTGCTGGCCGCACTGAAACCCAAATCAGGAACTTATTTACATGTTGATAGATGGCAGTGTGAATTAATGTTTGTAAGTGATTACCATATTTTCGCATATATAAGACGTGTAGTTATACAAAGTTTTAATACCCCGCACCCAGGGTGCGTCTTATATATGGTTGCGTCTTATGTAAAATATTTTTTACACAAATCGTAAAAAATCTGCATTGCAAAATACAGTGTTTTTTAACTCAAACGAATATTACAGTGGTGTTATTGAAGAACGATAATTGCGGTTGATATTTACATTTCAAGATTTTCATTCCTAGTTGTAAAAAGAATTGGGTAAGTGTTCAGTAATTACCACGCCTACCAATCTAATGCAGGCCACTTCAAATTTAAAATCCTATCGTTACAATGTTTTGTATATCAAAGAAGCCGCCTTTACATCTAGCGTTTTTTGTTTAGAGAATCTAGATACCAGGTATTTAACCCATCCGCTATTGCCCTGGTGGCAGATAAAAATAAACAATGATCGTTGCGGTTCTGCCTCAGACAATTCTTTGATCTACCAGTAAACTAATAATGGTAATGAAACCTTGTTTACAACCGACGGGTGATGAAACAATAGAAAAATTTTCATTTACGATAAAGGAAAGGAAACCACTAGATATAAATTGCTGAATGCGGCAGATGGCTAGGCCGTGTGCGTCTTATGCAAATATTTTTACACAAATCATCAAAACCAGCGTCTTATATAGGGGTGTGCCTTTTATATGCGCCAAAATATGGTAAATCCTCTTCAAATATCGGTAATGCAAGTTTATTTCAACTTTCCACACAAAAATTCTCTCAAGCAGCATGTATGAAATTAATATGATTACCATGAACAAAATTATGAAAAGGCAATAAAAAAAGTTTTCTGCTTTTTGGAAATGGACAAAAATTATTTCTGTCCATAACTAACCCAAAATTAAGTTAGCAGTGACAGTAAAGGTAGAGATTTGATTTTATTGTATAACAACTTGCACTTTCAGTTTTAAGTAAAACTAAGAGATATCCATAATAAAAGACTGTTGATGAAAACCCTTACCTTCTTTTCAAACACATTTAAATGTGGCCTCACTAGACTCAACATTTTATAAATGAAAACACCAAATATCATTACTTTTTTATTAGGATGAGGAACCAAACAATTAATAATTATAAGTACAACCATCCAGATGAAGAAATAAATAACTGAAATTTTAATAAAATGGTCCAGGGATTGAACCCACTGCCCTCTGACAAACCCACTTAGCCTATAGCTTATATTTAATTGATAAGGATGCAGTTAGTTTTATCCTCCTATGAATTTGTAAGACAAATGTTGTTGTTTTTTTATTAGACATACATTCCACAGTCAACTGGTAAATTCCTAGGATGTTCTGATAAACACTAAATTTTGCATTCCAAATATTTGATGGTAATATAAAACTTGATTGAATAGTTAGTTCCCTTGGGCCATAGTGTTTGATGACCAGTAACATTAGTACCAACAATGGTGGTTGATGACCAGTAACATTAGTACCAACAATGGTGGTTGATGACCAGTAACATTAGTACCAACAATGGTGGTTGATGACCAGTAACATTAGTACCAACAATGGTGGTTGATGACCAGTAACATTAGTACCAACAATGGTGGTTGATGACCAGTAACATTAGTACCAACAATGGTGGTTGATGACCAGTAACATTAGTACCAACAATGGTGGTTGATGACCAGTAACATTAGTACCAACAATGGTGGTTGATGACCAGTAACATTAGTACCAACAATGGTGGTTGATGACCAGTAACATTAGTACCAACAATGGTGGTTGATGACCAGTAACATTAGTACCAACAATGGTGGTTGATGACCNTGATATTTTCCATTCAATGGTAAATTTAATTTTAAACAATCAACAGAAATAACTAATTTCAAAAGATTTAACAAATCCTGTGACTAAAACTAGCGTGTCAACAAATCCTGTGACTAAAACTAGCGTGTCAACAAATCCTGTGACTAAAACTAGCGTGTCAACAAATCCTGTGACTACAACCAGCGTGTCAACAAATCCTTTGACTACAAATAGCGTCTCAACAAATCCTGTGACTACAACTAGCGTGTCAACAAATCCTGTGACTACAACCAGCGTGTCAACAAATCCTGTTACTACAACCAGCGTGTCAACAAATCCTGTGACAGCAACCAGCGTGTCAACAAATCCTGTGACTACAACTAGCATGTCAACAAATCCTGTGACTACAACTAGCATGTCAACAAATCCTGTGACTAAAACTAGCGTGTCAACAAATCCTGTGACTACAACTAGCATGTCAACAAATTCTGTGACTACAACTAGCATGTCAACAAATCCTGTGACACAAATGATGTGATCACAAACGCTGTTAGTACATGATAAAGTGAGGAATAAAAATGAAATGAGCCCGTCACTGCCAGCCTCAACCACAAATGACAAAAATTGTTCACTTGTTTCAAAGAGTTTGTTTATAAAAACAGTAAGACAAACAAGGCCAGGGTAATAAGTTGTACAGAGAAAACATTAAGACAAGCAAGGCCAATGTAATAATAAGTTTTACAGAGCAAAAAATTTTTTTTTAAATTTTCAACATGAACATGAGCTGTCAGAAAAGTACTCGACAGCTGCAGCAGAGAAATAGGACTCTGTCTCCAACTGCTGGTGGGTTGTGACGGCAAATAGAACAGCCCAGTCTTTGAGCTGTTTGAAGTAGGACAGCTTTTCCCGCTTTGTCAGGTGGGGTGAGTTCAAAGAGGTATCCAACAGTCGACGGATGCTGATGTTTGTGCCAGGGAAAGGAACCTGAAAATAAAATTCTATGTTTAGTTGCCAACACACCAAGTTTTATTCCTTATCCATCTAAATTATGATAGCAGGTACCGATATAAGATACATGTATCTGGTTGCTTTCTTATGGCTATAAATAGCTAAATTTAATTTGACTTGGACGACATGAAAACCTATAGTACTGGTTTACATTATTCTATTTCGACTAGCTATTCAATAGGTACAGAAGCCAAAAGCTTAGTGACACTTTTGGCCAAAAACATTTGTGATACATCCGGCAGGCCACAACATTTAACGTGGCGGGTCGCGAGTTGCACACCACTGCATTAAGTCTAGGAGCCTGATTTTATTTTCTGTTAACAATATTGTGGTCTAAAACTACCGTAAGCTGTATTCGGAGAAGGGAATAGAAGTGACGGAACAACACTGGGGTATTAAAATTGTACAGCTGCTTAGTGACTTCTAAAAATAAACTTCAAATGCCGCTTACTAGATCTTATAGAACATGTCAAAATCTAATGCTGCTGTGCGGAGCAGTTGAGAATGCATCTAATTGAAGTACTCAGTCTTGAATAAAAAGAGTGTAGATTTCATGCAAACGATAACATTAAAATCATCCATGCAATGTGCACGTCCGTCAATGTAGCCAATATCTTTTACTGGGTCTCTTAACTTAAAATCGTAAGTTGTGACGGGTCTCTGTGTAGAATTGTAAAAGACATCTCTCATTTTACTACAAAATTGTACCTGTTTACTCTGTCTGTAGTATACCTATGACATAACTATTACTAGTATTTGAAACAGTGATACATGCACATGCGTTATTTTGTCAGTAATAATGTTATTATCAGCATGATAATGATGAATTTAAATAAATAAATGAATTTTATAAGCCTAAGGGCTCTCTAAATTTTATTTTCTGAGTATGATAATGATCAATCAAAATGAATGTCACAAATGAACAAATTGAATAAACCAAGATTTGCCAAATTTTAGTTTTGAAAAAGTTAAAATCAAAAATAATAAAATAAATATTATAATTCCCACAGTTTTCCACAAAACTATTAGCCTTAGCCTAATTGAAATGTTATTTTTGGAAATATTGGACAAGGAGCTTATCATTCAGCTGTGAGCTGTGTTCGCCGAGGATTAGTAATATTATCAAACGATGACAGCAAGACATTCAGCAAAATGAATATCGGATTGCCGGCCGACAGAGTGGCAATCTAACTTCTGGCAGACGACTGAAAGCCTCAATCACTTTCAGCCAGATGGTCAAAAGTCTCAATCAATAAAGCGAAAGTTAACTTTTTGTTTTGACCAAAACCGAAACAAAGCCAAAATTGATCAAGTAGCAACTTTTGGTGCCGGAACCGAAGCTGAAATTCTGTCAGCTTCTACATAAAAACTATAGATAAATGAAACAATAACTAATACAGTATATATAAAGACTAACTTTATGTGTAATAAAACAATAAAAAATCTATAAGACTAACTTTATGTGTAATAAAACAATAAATAATCTATAGGACTAACTTTATGTGTAATAAAACAATAAATAATCTATAAGACTCACTTTATGTGTAATAAAACAATAAAAAATCTACAAGACTAACTTTATGTGTAATAAAACAATAAATAATATATAAGACTAACTTTATGTGTAATAAAACAATAAATAATCTATAAGACTAACTCTATGTGTAATAAAACAATAAATAATCTCTAAGACTGACTTTATGTGCATCAGGCACTCTCCTGAGTTCTTGCGTGACAAGGTCTTGTTCCTGCTTGAGCAGAGGCAGCGTCATGTACGGTTGGGTGTACTTGATATCAACAGGCAGGTCATCCCACTCCACTGGAATAGCTGAGCCATCCGGAGCTAACCTGGAGATGTTGAACACTGGTTTGGAGCTTGTTGGACTTTCATCCGTGGATCTACCTTTGCCATCCAGCCAGAGAACCTGGCAGAAAAGAATGTGAGAGTCAAGGTACAGAACCTAAGAGTCAATGGACAGAACCTAAGAGTCAATGGACAGAACCTAAGAGTCAATGGACAGAACCTGAGAGTCAATGGACAGAACCTAAGAGTCAATGGACAGAACCTAAGAGTCAATGGACAGAACCTAAGAGTCAATGGACAGAACCTAAGAGTCAATGGACAGAACCTAAGAGTCAATGGACAGAACATAAGAGTCAATGGACAGAACCTAAGAGTCAATGGACAGAACCTAAGAGTCAATGGACAGAACCTAAGAGTCAATGGACAGAACCTAAGAGTCAATGGACAGAACCTAAGAGTCAATGGACAGAACCT